ATATTTAGTTTTTTTCAATACTTGGAGTTTCTTTAGTTCATCCATTCCTGACACACTTCTGGTGAGTGGGTCAGAACTGGCAGGAATATCAGCTTGACTGTGCTACTAAATATCAGTCATTTTCATAGCTGCAGCTTCAATGGTCCTGACCTCCCATATAGTTTGTATAGAAGCTGTTTATTAATATGAGTCAACAGATTGGTATTTGATAAAATATATTCATAATTTGAAGTTACTAAACTGTGGCACTAATAACAGGTAACATTAAGAGGAGAAGATTTTTCACCACAGCTGTTCTGTATGCTACTTTTGGTTTTGTTTTCCACATAAGTTTGCACCTTTCAGATAAGATGTCTTTGAGATTTCTCAGTACTTACCTTAATGTATTCTGTTAAGCAAATAGTTTTACTATTATTTCTTAGGTGTGGTGCTTTTTTACCCTGGGATTCCCAGCCTTGATAGCTAGAGCAGATGCATTTAAGAGCTACCTTATCTGCACTGACTCCATCTGCATTTTGGTGGTTCTGAGAAACATCCCTTCCTGGGTGGACTGGCTTGGAGGTGCTTTTTTTCGGTGGGTTTTTCCCTTAATCTGTCTCCTGTCTTGTGTGCCTCAGCAAATTAGCCACAATCTGCCTCTTAGCCAGTGTATTGGATGCTGTTATTAAATTCCTTTCTTCATTCAAGTGGACTGAATGATAACAATGTGATATGACAAACATATTTCCATTATTATTTTTGACTCATTTAACTTTTTTAATTGCCTTGGCATTTGCAAAGAAAGCAAAGTTTTAAAATAGTATCCAGCATCTTCAAGACCCCAACTGCCACCTGTTTCATAGAGTTATTCATACTCTCCCTTTCCAAGACCTGTCTTTTTTTCATCCATGACTGGATGAAGTACACTGTTTTATTCTCTTTCATTTTGGAGATAAGTAGAAAAAATTGGAAAAAAATCCTTGACACTCTTGACTGTGCCATTTTTAGAGTGCTTGTCTTTTCTGTTTTGGGGGGATTTTATCATAGTTTTTAAGATAGAATGTTTACAACTCATTGAGTATCATCTTGAGACTTAGAAACTAATAATAAGACTAACATAAAATAATTACTTTTTCTAAAAACGTTTGGTTTATTACCTACCCCTACTTCATTTCATGCATGGGGGAATACTACTGAACTCCATATTGCACATTGCAATTTCTTCCTAAATAATCATATCTTTCAAACAGCATAGCATGAAACAATTCAAAGAGCAAGTACCTAATTCAAATGCATAAAACCCCCTCATTCTTTAGCAGTTTCCCAGTTCTAGGGTAAGAGGATTTACCCTTGCATATCTAAACCAAGTACACAAGTGCTCTTTTTCGGCATGTGATAAAAGGATGAGTTCTCTTTTGTTTTTTGAACAGAATTACACTACCAAAGGAAAGCAGTTTATCAAATATGGGTTATTTTAGGGTGGGATATTTTGCTTTTTTTGAAGTCTGGAATGTGTAAAATAAGGATTATGTCGTGTTGTAAGCATTTCTAAAAATGAAAAAATAAAATAGAAAATTTAATCTTTATTCAGTTTTGGAGGTGTTAGGAATGTTGTGAGTAAAACAGGACTTCATGCAACATAAATGGACTGTTAATTTCACAGAGGATTATTGAGAGGATAGCACTCTTTGGATTCTATAGGATTCTTTAACATTATTTTAAAGGTGGTTTTTTTTTTTTCAGTATTTTATTTTATGCTAGAAGTAAAGGGTCCAATTAGTTGAGCCCCAGTGTATTAAATGAAAAAACTGACTACTCTGAGCTACTGTTGTTGGACTATATTTGATGAGATGTTATTATTAAGTAATGCAAAATGTTTTGCTTTTTATTACAAATTTTACTAGAGTATTGGCATGTAGAAGAAAGGAAGGAGTAGGAATAATTTTTAAAACTATTGTTATAATTTAATGTTTACCTATTAGTTTCTGGACTGTACTGCCAAAACGTTATGACTTTGTTCTAAACTCTTCCAGTGGGTTATTGACTTCATTTGGGAGGGGAGGAGCCATGTGCTATTTTACTCAAGAGAAGATTTTATTCCTTTCTTTTTGTCATTTGACTGAAGTTAGATCTGAGATTAGCTGTGCAAACCTCCAGCTGCTAGGCTATATGTGATGTTACCAGGATGTGATAACTTACTTTAGTAGACATGTGGAATATTTTTACCCACAGTTCCCAAAAAGGTAAAATTAAGGGTCAAAGATTTGTGATGAGAAGAGAATCACTTCGAAGTTACAGTGAAATATAAGTGTGCAAGTACCCCTAAAGTTGGACAGTAACAAGAGGCTTAGGTCATACTTGTTTTCAGGCAAGTGCAAAAGAAAGACTTCTAATACATTGAGCTTTGACATCTCCTTCATGTGGAAGATGTATAATGAAAGCACATGTAACTCTTTGTTATATTATACTCAGCTGCTTTTTCATTATGTTATGACTTCTTATGTATGAATGTATTTAATAGGTTTGGCATTGGGGCTTACTTTTAACATTTGGAGCAAAGAACATGGTTTGCAGAGTGTTTGGAGCAGCAGGGAGTCAAGTTCTGGTTTTCACGTAATTAAAAAATGAGCTGTGCTTTTGTAGGGCCTTTTATTCAGCCTGCTCTTGTTGAGCTCGTATGTTGCCTGGGAAAGACCGGTGAGCCACTCTTGAAGATGCTGTTTGCATCCATAAATTAACTAGGAACATCCAAGGGCAGTTGCTAAATGCATTAATAATTGTGCAAACATGTAGTTTTGTTTTTTACAGAGAGGTGGATAGCACCCTGGAGGAGCAGCTAGCAAAAATGATGTGAAGAGAAGGGTACATGAATGTAGATGGGCAGGGATCCACACAGGCATACTGTAGAAGCTAATGATTTGATACTTCATTATGTTATATCTTTGTGTACATCGAATTATCCCAAGGCAAAATCAATAGTTTCTCTCATACGAATGATGAAAATTCTGATTTTTGGTATGCTTGAGGGTAAGTAGGAAGGGCATTGGGTCCAAAGGAGTTAGATTAGAAGTCTCCCCAGAAATCAGCCGAGATAAAACCTCTCAAGCTGTAAGACTTTTGAGACTCTTGAATAATTATAGCATTAAAGTGTATCTATTGACACCTCTGTAGGTGCAAATTAAAATAAAGCTGAGATCTACAGAATGATGTAAAATTTGTGTGAACTTCAAGGAAGTACACTGGTTAAAACCCTTTCCTCATTTGCAGTGAACGCTTTATAACCAGAGGCATCAGATTAGGTAAAATATAAAATGGCTTCCGCTAGTATAAAACCTTCACTTGATTTTATCATACTTTCCAAATACAGTGATCACAAGGAAAAAATTCATATTGGATTTCAGCCTGTAATCACCATTAGAATGTTCTTATGAAACAGTTTTCAAGTTCTTTAGATATTAAAACCCCCATATACTTCAGAAGAAACTGTATGAAGTGCAAGATTTTCTGTTCCTTCATTTCAGTATTTGGTGTTAAATCTGGTGTTTGCCTGTTCCAGAAGTGTTTTATAACTTTGGCTGACCTTTCTAAATACTTGGTTTATACAGCACTGATGACACATTACAGACTGAGAAACTTGTTAATTTGAAAATTTAAAAGAATACATTTGAGACGACAGGAACCTCGGAAAAAATTTTGTGTGATTTCAATTTCAATGTTGAGGTGCAAACTCAGACAAAATATTCAGATACAGTTGTATAAGGGTAAATACTTTCTTAAAATACCCATATTCAGGAATCTAGTAAAATTTCACACATCCTATGTATCCAGAACAACTGTTGCTAGAATTTAAACAGTTTGTGTAGAGATGCTGAAAATCAGAACTGTTGCCTTTGGCAATAAATCCATACTTAAGTTACCAAAACTGAACTGAAAGAGAAACTTTTGCATCTTGTACTGCTCCTCTTATTTTAATTTTTAAGCACTGATGTAATATTCTTGTGTCTTCTTGTATTTGTGTTTTATGTGAACCCTGTGTAGGGATTTAGAGGTTCCAGAATGTACTCGATGGTGTCCTGAGAGCTTCATAACATTCTAAAATAATAATGTACAAGACTGATTATACTCATACTTGGGCTTCACCAGAAGATATTGCTATAAATGTGAGAGAAAAATGCCCTTGGTCATTCTTAAATTATTTATGTATAGAGAGAGATACATATATAAATATCCTTGAAAAGATATCTTGAAGTATTTTTCCGTCACTGCCAATGCTTGACATTTAATAATAACTTAGACCTTTACTGCATATTCTTGCAGTGTCCCCACTGAAGAACTGAAGATCATCATGCTCTAAACAATTTTAATTTAGTTGGAAGTGACTCTAAATAATTTAACAATATGTATTAATAGAAATGTTTGTGTCAGAGCAGTGTAGTCTGTTATGACTATGGCTGTCTGGGTATAATGCTTGTCTAACTGATGGATTATAAGAAAATACTTCAATAGTTAAGGTAAGGCTGCTCAGAAATCGTATGAGATCACATAATAAAACAGTATATTGGTAGAGTATATATTACCTGTATATTTTCATAAGTGAGCAGTCTAATCATTCACTCATTTTCTGAAATGCTTTACAAGACTCTGATTTCTTTTAAGAAAATTAACAGAAGTGATTTAGTATCCCTTACATGGTTTTAAATACATTCCTGCAGCTAGCTAACAAGGGGAAACTCTCATCAGACTAACACCTCTTATTATAACCACTGGCAAAAAAACATTGGATTTTTATCACAGCTGATGAATTGTGGATGAAAACTGCAAAGATACAAATTTACCTGTAAGATCGAATTCTCAAGCTCTTTGTTATTACAGGTATTACTGTTTTAGGAAGTGGGGGTAAGGTAATTGCAGAACTCTGCTCAGATGCTTGTACTTAGGCAAACAACTTTGCTTCTGTAGAAGGAACACCCTCAATGATTCATGGCTATAGGCATAGCCTGATCTTTATCTTCTTATTACAGGCAGAACTTGTTGATATACAGTATGGGACCGTGGAAGACTTGATCCGGACTTAAGCCATTACAAACGTGACCAAAAAAATTGCACTTCTGAAGCTAGGACAATCACCTTTGCTTTATAAGGTTAGTCAAATGTTTGTTGCACTTTAGCTGAATTATTTATTTCTTTTTTCAGTTTCAAAGTACCAAAACAAACACTTTCCCATTCTGTCCCAGTAAGTCAGTATTTACTGGCATTCAGATTCTTCCTCAATACTAGCCACTTCGATCTGTGATGCCTTTTATGTGTTACAGTTATTTATTTTGCTGCATATCTTACAATGTCCCAGTAGTATGCCATATTTTCTCTGGGTGTACTATAAGCGTTTTGGCAAAAAAATCCCTAAAAGAAATAATAA